CGGGGGGTCGCGGCGGGAGCGGATCTCTGCGGGCCCCTCTCTCCGTCGACAGCTCGCGCACGGGCTCTTGCTTTTCCTTCAGATTTATTTATTTTTGTTTGAAGGTAGAAGTTTTCCATTGCCTCAGTGTGACAGACACGAATCCTGGCTGGAAAACCCATCCAGCTCGTCCTGACGAGCGCAGGGAAGTGGGAGGCAGGATGGAAAACAGCCCTTTTTCCTCAGGGATAGGGCCCAGCTGGCAGCCTGGAGCCCCAGGCTCGCTTATCCCGATCCCCAGGGAGGCTCCCAACACCGAGCGGAGCCTCCGCGGGTGCAAATCGGGATCCGGGTCCCGTGCCCGGCCTGGCGGGAGGCCCGGCCTCCTTCCCGGGCCCCGGGCACGGGCTGCGCTCCAGGAGGCGCCGAGAGCAGCAGGATGCGCTGCAGGAACCCGGGAACGCGCGGGGCTGCGGCCAGGCCTGCCGGCACCACCGGGAGAGCCCCGCCCTGCGCACCGTTCGGATGCTCCCGGCGTGCCGGACGCTCCGGAGCCCGGATACGGGAGGACGCAACGTCCGCTTCTCAGGTTGTCATTCCCAGGCGATGCTGTGAAACGGCCCTCAGCATCCATCGAAAGAGCTGGAATGTTCGAGGGCTTCGGCATGTGGGAGAGCAGGAACGATCCTGGCGGGGATTCAGCAGGGATGTGGGCAGGGATGCAGGCAGGGTTTGCAGCAGGGATACGGACAAGGATGTGGGGAGTTGGGATCAGGGACTCAGGGAGCTTTGCAGCAGGGATGTGGGCAGGGATGCAGACAGGTTTGCAGCAAGGATGCCAGGAGGGATGCGGCAGGGATGGGGCAGGTTCTTTGCAAGGATGCAGGCAGGGATTTTGCAGGGATGCGGGCAGGGATTTGCAGCCGCATGCGGCGCTTTGCGGCGGCCGCTGGCGGAGCTGCCGCCGGGTCTCCAGCGAGCGGCGCTGCCTGCTCAGCAAAGCCGGAGCCCGCAGGAGCCCCGGGGGGGCCCGGCCCCCCC